TACTGGGGATGTGCCTGCAACCCAGGTACATGCCCTTGACCGGAATCTAACCTGGGACCTTTCAGTCCGCAGGCCGATGCTCTATCCAGTGAGCCAAACCAGTTTCGGCAAGGATTAGTGGCTTTTTAAAGATTAGAGATAATATGCTAAAAATAAACATTAAACACGTATCTATATAGCCTAAGTGACCTTTACAATGGAACAACTAGAATGACTGGTCACTATGATGCACACTGACCACCAGGGGGCAGACGCTCAACTCAAGAGCTGCCCCCAGCCCACAGGCCCTGATCACAATGGGGCCTGTCGGCCAAACTCCCAGTCCCTCCCCCGAGCCAGCAGGTCCCGATCGCCCAATCAGGGCTGGGCCCTGGGCTGGGATGGGAAAACTGGGGGTGGGTGGTGGTGGATGCAGACGGCAAGGGAAGGAGGAGGCAGGGATGTGGGGAGGCAGAGAGGTGGGGAACCTAATCAGCCCAGATCACCAGCCGGGCCTAGGGACCCCACCCGTGCACAAATTTCATGCACCGGGCCTCTAGTATTCAATAATATGTAACTAACTATATAAAACCTTACAAATGAACAGAGCTGGCTATCACATGAATGTTTTTCTGAACTTATCAAAAATTCATTGAAGCCATGTAGAGTGAAAATTAAAAATTTAAAAATTTTTTAAAACCTATGAGGAAAAAGTGCCTCACTTCTAGGTGGTTTTAATCTGGTTGGGATGAAATACATACATGTTAAACAGTCATTAAGAACACAGGACTACAAATGCTGAGTATTTGACATACCAGGGAAAACATCACTGAAATGAATAGTTTGGAGACATTTATCCTGCTTGGTGCTCTCTCAGCTTCCTGGATCTGCAGTTTGGTGTCTGACATTTATTTGGGGACATTCTCAGTCATTGTTTCCATTTTTTTTCTGCTATTTCCTCTTTCTTCTCCTTCTGGGATTCCCATTACATGTATGTTACATCTCTTGTAGTTGTCCCACAGTCCTTGATATTCTGTTCAGTCTTTGTTCTCTTTGTTTTTCAGTTTGGGAAGTTTCTGTTGAATAGCCTCAAGCTCTGAGTTCTTTCCTCAGCCCTGTTAAGTCTACTAATAAGCCCATCAAAGGCACTCTTCATTTCTGCTACAGTGTTTTTACCTCTAGCAATTCTTCTTGGTTCTTTCTTGGGATTTCCATCTCTCTGCTTATATTGCCCATCTGTTCTTGCATGCTGTCTGCTTTTTTATCCAGTGGAGCCCTTTGCATATTAATCATAGGTATTTTAAATTCTGAGTCTGATAATTCCAACATTTCTGCCATGTCTGCTTCGGATATTTATTTGCTCTATCTCTTCAATTCAAATTGTGGGATTTTTTTTTTTTTTTTTTTTTGCCTTTTGGTCTGCTTTGTCATTTTTTCTTGATAGCCAGGCATGATGTAGCAGGTGAAAGGAACTGCTGTGAATGGCCTTTAGTACTGTGGTTGTAATGGGGGGAGGGGAGAGGGGAGAGGAGGAGAGTTTTAGAGTCCTATGATTGTATCTCGGTCTTTTAGTGAGCTGACCTCTCTGGACTGTGAACTTCACAAGTGTTTCTCAGTTTTCTCCCCCCTTATGTGGACAGGATGGCTAAAGTGGGTATTTTCCTTCTGCCACCTGGAAGGCTGGAGCTGCCTGGAGTTGAGTATTTCCCTTCCTGGGTCAGTTAGACTCTGATAATACCACAGCAGCCGGCTCTAGTTACCGAGTGCCCCTGAGGACAAGCCTTGTGAAGAAGGACAGAGTGGTCGAGCACATTTCAAAATGATTCCTTTTTTCCTCTCCCTGCTGAGAGCATGAGGGGATTTTTCTCTGATATTTACTATGGGGACATGGTCAAGCTCACAAAATTGGGAATTTTTTAGAATATGTTTTTATTGATTTAAGAGAGAGAGGAAGGGAGGATAGAGAGATAGAAACATTGACCAGCTACCTCCTGCTCGCCCCCTACAGGGGATCAAGCCCAAAACCTGGGCCTATGCCCTGACCAGGAATCAAACTGGTGACCTCTTAATTCATGGATCAACATTCAACCACTGGGCCACACCAGCCAGGCCCAAATCAGGACTTTCAAATCCTCAGAGTTGTCCATGCTGAGCTTCCAGCAATTCGTTGACTAGAGTTCTGGTATTCCTACAGGGCAGCTGCTGAGTCTCTGCTCAGATTGGTTGTTGTGCTCAGTATTCACCTGTCTGTCTTACCAATCTTGAGGGCAGCAGTTTGCCGTCTCCTTGCCTCTCTTTCAAATCCTAGAAGAGTTGATGATTTTTTTCAGTTTATTCAGTCTATTCAATTGTTAGGACGGAGTGGGGACTACCAAGTTCTTTTTTTTTAAAATATATTTTATTGATTTTTTTTTTTTTTACAGAGAGGAAGGGAGAGAGATAGAGAGTTAGAAACATCGATGAGAGAGAATCATCGATCAGCTGCCTCCTGCACATCTCCTACTGGGGATGTGCCCGCAACCCAGGTACATGCCCTTGACCGGAATCGAACCTGGGACCTCTCAGTCCGCAGGCCGACGCTCTATCCACTGAGCCAAACCGGTTTCGGCGGCTACCAAGTTCTTTACATGCAGAGCTATCAATTTGTTTTTTTCCTGTTAGCTCCATCACTTTTTAAATAACATTTGTCTGCTTGTTTTTACATTGTTATTATGGGGGATGTCAGACATACAGAAAAGTTGAGCGACTAGTATAATGAACCTGGACACCCAGATTCAACAATGAACCTCATGGACATGGTATGAACTCATGGACAAGTCCAAGATAGTTTGTCCATAAACAGTGCAGTATGTATCTCTAAAAGGTAAAGACTCCAAACTATAACCACAGTATTGTTACAGCACCTAAAAAATAATAGTAATTCCATGAACATCATTAAACATCCAGCTATTGTTTCAATATCTTAATTGTTTCACAAATTTAACATTTTGTTTGTTCAAATCGGTAACCAAATAAGATGCATAAGTTTCAAGTAGTTGATATTTTTATATAGTTTTTTTAATTTAACAAACTTGAAAGTTATAGGTAAGTTTGTTACTTTAGGACCATAAAAAGGTACAATTCTATTTGTTCACAGATTGTTTGGAAGTCTAGTTATGTCAGATAGAATAAACTTAATAAATTTAACTTTTAATTATTTTTGTCATGAGTGGAGCAACCAGCTGCTGATCTCTAAGGAAGATGTCATCTCTAATTTTCACCAAATTGTGAGAAGCAAGAAAATACTTTAGAATTGAAGAAACCATCAACATTATAGCAAAGAAAAAGAGGTTTTATCTTCTGAGCCTAATTCCTTTTGTCATATGTCAAGCAGCCATTCTAGAAAAGGAAATAAGAGGGGAAAAGAAGATATGTCTCTTTATATTAAATTTGTGTTACATAAAAGTTTGCCTAATCCATTCTTCTTTCTGAACTATAATATACAACATATGGGGAGTGGAGTATCAGTTAGAAATGTATTTAACCACGAATAATAGGAAGAGAAGCTTGAATACATAGGGATTTGTTTTCTTCCTGTTACAAGAAGTCCAGGGTTCTCGAGTCCAAGGCTGGGATAGCTGTTCTACAGTGTCATCATGGACCTAAGATGCTTCTAATTTCCTGCTCTGCCTCCTTTTGTGTGTGGTTTAGTCTTCATGGTCACAAAGTGGCTGCTGCACCACCAAGCATAGTCTCCACAGCCTAGGCATGAAGAAGAAAGAAGGGCAAAGAATGAAGGGCAGAGGTCTTTCTCATAATGAGCTTTTGCCTTTTTGTTGGGAAAAAGAGGTTCCTCCCTGCAATGAAATTCTGATGCTACTACCTGGAGTTAGGTCTGACTTCACAGGGTAAGGGCATAGTCCTTGACAAGACTACCCTCACCTCAGATATCAGCCACAAGCTTGGGGGTTCCCAGGCCACCTATACTTCTGACCACCTGGATACAAATTTAGGGGCTCCTACTATACTCTCAGGTTCAATAATTTACCGCGGTAATTCGCAGAACTCAGGAAAGCACTATGCCTGCAATTACAGTTTTATTACAGCAAAAGGATACAAATCAGAACCAGCCAAAGAGGAGACCCATTGAGCAAGGTCTGGGAGGATCCCAAATGCAAAGCATCTGTATCCTCAGGATGCATCACCCTCCAGGTATCACCAACCAGGGAACCTCATCAGAGCTCTGGGTAGTCAGAGTGTTTATTGGAGTCTCATTATACAGACCTGATCGACAGCCCGTTGGCCACATGACTGAACTCAATCTCCAATTCCCACAAAGACCAGACTGATATCATGTGGCTCAAAGACCCAACCCTCTAAACATAAGGATGGTCTTTCTAGCAAGGCCAGCTCCATCCTGAAACTATTTAGGGGCCACCATGAGTCACCTCATTAACATAAACTCAGGTGTGAATAGCAAAGACACTGATCACTCGGGAAATTCCAAGGGTTTAAAGTCTCCCTAATCAGGAACTGAGGAAAGGAGCCAAATTCTTTATTGTACACATTCCTACATCTCTTTGGCTGGACCTGTGTGGCAGGGCCACCCCTGGCTGTCAGAGAGGCTGGGAGACTGAGCTTTTACTTTTGGAGCCTCTGAGGTAGAAGCAGACAAGGGGAACGTGGATGGAAGTGAAACTGACTCAGGCAGCCCACAGTGTCTGCCATAACCACCAACTGTTTGGACACTTGAAACCTAGTTTTGTTCAGATTAAAACAAACTCCCTTTCCTGTTACATGGGACTTTATTTCCTAAAATATTATTTTTATAACCATAAATCTATCATCTCTAACTGGTTGCAGAAATTCCCACAGTCTTTGACCCAATGAATCTCAGGGAAGAAGCTTGGACAGTATGATCCCCTTTTGTTGAACTAAGAATAATTCTTTTTTTTTTTCTATATAATGAGGGTTTTTATTTATAAGGCTTTTGACATTTTAAAAACATCTGAGACTATCAAGCCGCGCGGAGAGAAGGTCACACGGGGTCCTCCAGTATGGCGGCGGCGACGCTGCGGAGAGGCTGGTGCCGCTGCCCGCGGAGTGCCTCGGCAGTGGTGTCCAGTTTCTGCCCAGCCACAATCTAGTGCTACTACCCCGTGGGACCTATCAGATGCGCAGGCCAAATGGAGAGCTGCCCCTGTTCAAATCCTATTCTTCTGGAAACCGAAAAGGCTTTCTCTCCGGCTTGCTAGATAATATCAAACAAGAGTTAGCCAAAAACAAAGAAATGAAAGAAAGTATAAAAAAATTCCGAGATGAGGCCCGGAAGTTGGAAGAGTCAGATGCGCTCCAGGAAGCCAGAAGGAAATATAAAACCATTGAATCCGAAACCGTGCGGACAAGTGAGGTGATCAAGAAGAAGTTGGGGGCTATCACCGGCACTGTGAAGGAGGGGGTGGAGTCAGTGAAAAAGGAGATCGATGAAAGTGTCCTGGGCCAGACCGGGCCCTACCGCAGGCCCGAACGGCTCAGGAAAAGGAAGGAGTTTGCTGGAGAGAAGTTCAAGGAAGAGAAAGTGTTTGAGCCCAATGAGGATGCCCTGGGAGTCGTGCTGCACAAGGACTCCAAGTGGTATCAGCAGTGGAAGGACTTCAGGGACAACAATGTGGTGTTCAACCGGTTCTTCGAGATGAAGATGAGGTATGACAAGAGTGACAACACACTCATCCGGGCCTCCCGTGCACTGACAGATAAGGTCACAGACTTGCTGGGAGGTCTGTTTTCGAAGACAGAGATGTCCGAGGTGCTCACGGAGATCCTACGTGTGGATCCGGCCTTTGACAAGGAGCGGTTCCTGCAGCAGTGCGAGAATGACATCATCCCCAATGTCCTGGAGGCCATGATTTCTGGAGAGCATGACATTCTCAAAGACTGGTGCTATGAAGCTACCTACAGCCAGCTGGCTCACCCAATCCAGCAGGCCAAGGCGCTGGGCCTCCAGTTCCACTCCCGTATCTTGGACATTGACAATGTCGACGTAAGTGACGTTCCAGGTGGGCTGGGTGTCCCCTGGGATTGGGAAGGCATACTGATCAGCATGAGGAGTGAGCTCCCCATCCCTGGAGGAGTTCCATCACAGCTGGCCATGGGCAAGATGATGGAGCAGGGCCCCGTGCTGATTGTCACCTTCCACGCCCAGCTGGTGATGGTGATCAAGAACGCCAAAGGCGAGGTGGTCGAGGGCAACCCGGACAAGGTGTTACGCATGCTGTACGTGTGGGCACTGTGCCGGGACCAGGATGAGCTCAACCCTTATGCGGCCTGGCGGCTCCTGGACATCTCCGCTTCCAGTACAGAGCAGGTCCTCTGAGCTTGGCAGCCACGACAGGAGGTTCCAGGCTGTACATCGCAGGGCAGCTGCACAGGGTGGCAATGTCCACCTGTGGCAGTAGACCTCTGGGGACGACTGTCAGCTCTGGACTGCTCTCTGCTAGGGTGGTTGTAGAACCAACTGGACCTGGAATGGCCAGCAGCTGTAGAGGGCTGCTCCCCACAGTGCCAGCCCCTGGCCCCCTCTGCTGCTCGGGCTGCTGGCAGGGAGTCAACACGGCGCACTGGCCAGACAATGCCAAGAGGAAGAGGCTCTGGCCCAGGGACTCCTGGGGACAGGTGGTGGGGCCCACTGGCCATATCATCGAGGCCGTTTTAGCTTCATTTAAAAAAATAAAAATTTAACAGTGCCCTTAAAAAAAAAAAAATCTGAATATCACTTTTAATGGTTAATTATTGCTATTATTAGCATCTAGCCCCATCTCTCTCTCTAAAAGTTAAAAATGTATAATGCTCACATTATAAAAAGCTGTCCTTAATGAGGTATGTAAAATTACTTTTACTTTTATTTCTTTTTTTATTATTATTATTATTAGTTAAGGTATTACAAATGTGTCCTCATCCCCCCATTAACCCCAACCTCCCCCCCCCCCCACCCTGCACACTCATGCTCCCATCCCCCTGTTGTCCATGTCCATTGGTATGGCTTATATACATGTATACAAGTCCTTCGGTTGATCTCTTCCCCTTACCCCCGCCCTCCCCTACTTTCCTTCTGGGGATTGATAGCCTGATTGCTGTTTCTCAGTCTTTGGGTCTGTCCCTTTTCATCAGTCTATGTTGTTCTCTATAATCCACAAATGAGTGAGATCATGTGGTATTTATCTTTCTCTGACTGGCTTATTTCACTTAGCATAATGCTCTCCAGTTCCATCATGCTGTTGCAAAAGGCAAGAGTTCCTTTTTTTTTTTTTACCACAGCATAGTATTCCATTGTGTATATGTACCACAGTTTTCTAATCCACTCATCTGCTGATGGGCACTTAGGCTGTTTCCAAATCTTAGCTATGGTGAATTGTGCTGCTATGAACATAGGGGTGCATATATCCTTTCTGATTGGCATTTCTGGTTTCTTGGGATATATTCCTAGTAGTGGGATCACTGGGTCAAATGGGAGTTCCATTTTTAGTTTTTTGAGGTAGCTCCATACTGTTCTCCACAGTGGCTGCACCAGTCTGCATTCCCACCAGCAGTGCAGAAGGGTTCCTTTTTATCCACATCCTCTCCAACACTTGTTTGTTGATTTGTTGATGATAGCCATTCTGACAGGTGTGAGATGATAACGCATTGTCGTTTTGATTTGCATCTCTCGTATAGTTAGTGACTTTGAGCATGTTTTCATATGTCTTTCGGCCTTCTGTATGTCCTCTTTCGAAAAGTGTCTATCTAGGTCCGTTGCCCATTTTTTTATTGGATTGTTTATCTTCCTTTTGTTAAGTTTCATGAGATCCCTGTAAATGTTGGAAATTAAACCCTTATCGGTGGTATCATTGGCAAATATGTTCTCCCATGTAGTGGGTCTTCTTGTTGTTTTGTTGATGGTTTCCTTTGCTGTGCAAAAGCTTTTTATTTTGATGTAGTCCCATTTGTTTATTTTCTCTTTAGTTTCCATTGCCCTAGGAGCATTATCAGAGAAGAAATTCCTTCGGCATATGTTTGCGATTTCGCTGCCTGTGGATTCCTCTAGTATTTTTATGGTTTCCCGTCTTACGTTTAAGTCTTTTATCCATTTTGAGTTTATTTTTGTATATGGTGTGAGTTGGTGGTCTAGTTTCATCTTTTTGCATGTATCTGTCCAATTTTCCCAACACCATTTATTGAAGAGACTGTCTTGACTCCATTGTATGCTCTTGCCTCCTTTGTCGAATATTAATTAAGAATAATTCTTAAGGTTGTACAGCTTTTATAATTTGCAAAGCAGAGTGTGCCCTGTGAAGACATGCAGCACCGGGAACCAGCCAGGTGGAGCTAACAGTGCCAGAGTCACAAACCTGGGATGTACGTAATAACACCCCAGAGGCCGTGGGAGAATTCAATGCCAGAGCGTAGCTGAAACACCTGGGCCAGGGCCTGACACCCAAAATTATTTACCATGACTCTCATAGTGACCAAGGTCACTCTTCACACTTCCCAAGTTAATTTCCAAGGCACGGCTTGAACCAAGTCGTCCAACTGTAAATCCAAAACTCTATCTAGGACACCAGTCTGGTTCCCCACATTTACCACTCGGTGAACCAAGAACCCATCCCCCACAGAAAAGCCATCTAGGTAAAGAGGTAATCCCAAATTGTTCGTATATGTAGTCCCTGGAATTCCCAGAGATAATAAATATCCCCAACATGTGATGAGGCTGTCAACATTTTAGTATGTACTCAAACCGATTTAATGTTAAAAACCTATCAAGAAGAACAAAATCATTCCATCCAAGCCTCAAAAGACTTCTGTGATTAATATCCTCCCATGTGAACTGCTGAGGAAGAGCCAAGCTAAAGAAGCCTCTCTGCATGGTAATCAGCCATTGTCACATCTCCGCTCTGAGTAAGGAGGGGAAGCTGTGTTTAACGATGTGAAAAGTGCTTTTTAGTGCCTCAGCTTCAAGACTCGGGCTGTCCAAACAAGCATTCATTTTCCCCACCAGGCCCCATCGCTGCTTGAAGTGGACGCTGTACAGATGTTTTACAAAAATGCTTCCCCTTCTACTCTTTGTCGTCAGCGGCTTACATGTTTTTGGCAGCAGTTGCCAAAGATGGAATTTCCCAGAACGGACAAGGATGCTCCTGGGCTTTTGGGGGTCTGCCTCTGAAAGAGTGTGCCCTTTGCATAAAGTCGGGGGCGCAGAAAGGCCAAACCACTCCCGGAACCTACTCCTCCTCCCCCCATTTGCTACATTAAAAAACAAACAAACAAACAAAAAACAAGCTCCCAGGTCCAGAGCTAGAGATGAGGGTATGCTTATTTTCTAAGCTGTTACTGAACCTCCACCCTCACATAAGAATTCTCTTACTTAAATATGTTCATTTTTTAAATTGATTTGGGAGAGAGAGAGATAGAAACAAGGATCGGGCCCTGCTGCCTCCTGCACGCCCCCAACCGGACCTCAACCGGAGCATGTGCCCTGACCTGGAATTGAACTGGTGGTGACCTCTTGGTGCCTGGGACAACCAACTAAGCCACTGGCCGGGCAGAACTCCCCTAAACTCTAGATCTAGGCAACCTCAACTAGAGATGTGCACAGGTCAGCGAATGGTCCCCTGGCCACAGGTAAATATCCTTTTAAACTGAGCCAGACACAACTAGCTTTAAAAAGTAATTATGAAACAGCACATCTAAACTAGGTCTCTCTGTCAGCACGTAGAATCTTAATGGAAGGAAGGGAGGGAGGGAGAAGGGGAGACAAGAACATTCTATTTCCCATTTAACTATTTGATGACTATTTATTGAACCCTTTCACATCGAAGCAGACATGTGGCAAACCCCGGTCTCTCTAACCCAAACCCATGCTTTTTCAACCATGCTTAAATAAATTAATATGGTTTTAATTAAATGACTAAGAATTTACACTCCAAATAGATTAATAAATACTTACTTCCCTTAAACTTAATATTGTTTAATAAAATAGGTAATATAAGGCCCCACAATAAATATTATTGCATCTTACTGAAAGAACTGGCACTAACCCAAGCTAACATGGGTCCTAGGATGCACTAAATTATAATCTTTCTTTAAATTAAGCTGAAGACCTGTGGCACCTCCTTATTTAAGGGGGTATGACAGAGACTGCTAGTTGTCACCCAAATCCCATCCCTTAGTAAAAGAACCCTAATTTTTTGGCAGGCACATTACCACCTAACTAAGATTACATTTTTACATGTCCACTTGCAGATTGCTGTGGACATATGACCAATTTTGGGTCAATGAGATGTAAGAAGCATTATGTGCTATTTCCAGGAATTCTCCTTTTAAAAAAGGAATCCAGACCCTCCCTTTCCCTTTCCACATCCTACCGCCTAGAACACAGCCTGTCACTTTCTCCAAAAAAGCCAGCCATGATCTTGATAAGGATTGTCAGGACTGTGTTGAACCTGTAGATCAGTGTGGGTAGTACAATACTGCCATCTCAACAATGTGAAGTCTCCTCACTATGAACAGGATGTCTTTCCACTTATTTAGATCGTTAATTTCTTTCAATGGCATTTTATAGTTTGCATTATACAAGTCTGACATGTATTTTGTTAAACTTATTTCTAAGTTTTTTATTCTTATTGATGCTATTGTCAATGGAACTATTTTCTTAATTTCATTTTCTGATTGCTTTATCACAAGTGTATAGAAACACAAATGATATGCGTAGATGGATCTGGTATCTGGCTCCTTGATAAACTTATTTATTAGTTTTAATAAATTTTAGTAGATTTCTTAGGATTTTTTATGTATATATGATCATGCCATCTGGAAATAGTATCTTAATGCTGCCTTTAAAATCTGGGTGCCTTTTATTTATTTTTTCTTCCCCAGTGTTCTTGGTTAGAATCTCCAGTCCAATGATGAACAGTAGTGACAATGGGCATCCTTGTCTTGTTCGTGACCTTAAAGGGAAAGCATTCAGTTTTATGATGAAGTATGATAATAGCCATGGATTTTTCACGGATGTCCGTTATCAGGTTGAGGAAATTCCCTTCTCTTCCTAGTTGGTTGAGTGTTTTTGTTATGACAGAATGTTGTATTTTGTAAAATGTTTTTTCTGTGTCCCATGTGCTTTTGTATCAGTTATTTATTGCTGTGTAACAACCCAAAATTTAGTAACTTAAAACAACATCTCTTCTACTGACTCCATTCTGTAGGTCAGCAATTTGGGCTAGACTTAGCGAGATTTTTCTTCTCCTGGTTGTACCTTGAGCTGGGGCTGGACAGTCTAAGAGGGCCTCTCTCACACCCCTAGCAGTTGGTGCTGGCTGTCAGCTGGGTCTTTGTTCACATGGTTTGTCATCTTCAAGGTGACTAACCCAAGCTTCTTCACATGCAGTCTTGGAGCAATGATGTAGGAAAGTGAGAGCAGAAGTTGCAAGTCCTCTTGCAGCCTCACTTGGAAATCACATAATGTTTGTTCTTCCACATGCTATTCCCCAAAGCTAGTGGCAAGTACATCCCAGCACAGCCGATTCCAGGAGTGGGGTACTAGGCTCCAACCCCCTGATGGGAAGAGTGTCATTTTAACCCCTTGCACCCATTAAAGGTTCTTTAGTCTCTCCTCCTGAAACTCCCGGTTACATCTTTTTCATAGTCTTCCTTACTTTTATTTACTTGA